TGGCACCATGCTGCCCGCGCGCTGCGTCCCGTTGCTCACGCCCCACTTGCTGCTCGCGTTGGTGCAGCTGTCCCCGGCGGGTGGCCATCGCACGACGGGTCCCAGGGTAAGTGCGTGCCCAGCCGCGCGCCCACCTGCGCGGAGGGGGGCGAGGTTGCTGCTCCCGGGTGGGGAGGGAGGAGGGCAGAGGGAGGTGTCAGACTTTGCCCCCCTCCCCACACGATCCAGGGTCCGGAGGGGTTCTTGGAGAAGGTGCTAAAATTCCAGTGCCTTCCCTCTCTTGCACCCCCCAAAACTGTCACCGGTGAGCGTTCTTCCCACACCCCTTCTCCGAGGGTATTTTGCTCCCGAATCCCCCTCCAAGGCGCCTCCGGTGCCCGGGGGAACCTTGCCCCGGGCTCAAGCAGGGCGCCCCTGCGGTCTCTCCGCACCCGGCCCCCGTGAGCTGGCGTTCTTGGCAGGCGGCGGGAGAGGGGGTGATGGGGAGGGGGAGGGGGAGGGGGAGGCCTGCCTGGAGAGTTTTAGGTTACCCGCGAGACACACAAGGACCTTGTGTTGTTGTTGTTGAAAAAAAATAAAAAGCGATCGCTGCTCATAAAACTCATAGCAGATAATTTTAATGCTCCCTCCCGCTAGCGTGGCTCCCGGAGGAGGGGTGGCGGTGCAGCGGCGGGGAGAGCTGCGCGGGGTCGTCTTCTTCCCCTGGGTTGGTTGCGGGGAAAGTTGAGTGACTACTTGTTGAACCTTGGTCTGATTGGAGTTTCTGAACGACCTCAAACGTGCCAATTCTGTGCACAGGACAGGCTGTCCAGGGCATTGTAAAGTCTCCTGGAACCCACTGTATTGCGTTCATTTCTGGTCTAGATTATTGCTTTCCCCACCCCCTCCAATTGGTCTAATAAAGAATTTCACTGCTTAAAAAAATGTACTGTTAAATCACCGAGTGGTTCGCTTGGCTAAACTTAAGTCAGGCATTCTCTGGTCAAACTTCAGTTTAGGTGCAGGCAAGGGTTATTGGGGAGAAGCTATTTGTCCCCAACAGGTAGCATCGAGAGTCTTCTTGAAGGTAGCTAGAATCTCTATGAAAATAGTTAGCTCCTCAGCCAACTTTCTTTGCTGGATATTCTCCAGCCCCATTTCCTGGATGGTTAGCATCATTACCACCTGTTCAGATTGTAGTTTCTTTCTTCCCCTCCTTTTTTTTCTAAAGCTTTTACTATATGAGAATCATCTTTATCACTATCCTGGGTGGAGGAAAAGCTTTGCAAGGCCTGATGAACTGAATTGGTTACATCCCAGTCCAGCAATCACTGAGAGATCAGATTTGTAGCCACTTAGGAAAGAAAAGTGTTTGTCCTCAGTGTTGGGCCGGCCCTTGCTTTTATGACCAGATGTGCAACAGCAGCAGTTAAAGTGCAGCAGATTAGATCCAGGGCGTGTCATAAATCCTCGACAGCAGGCATTCCCAAAGCCAGGGCAAGTTGGGGCTCTGGGAGTGACTTTTATGGATGCAGTTGAGGATGCCTTTTAAATAAAGCTGCTTGGTTCGATATTAGGACTTGAAGCTCTTAAACTCTGAGGTCAGGCAAACGAGTCATGGTGTTCTCTCCAATAATTAGGAACAGTCAAGACAGAGATGCAGACCAGAGCACCCCGACTGCAATCTGGATACCCGCCCACAGGAGGGTCGAAAGGAGAGAGGCCCTCCGACAAATGGTGGGGGGCTCGTTTGCTGTGGGCCATGTCTAATGTCTCAAGCCATATGGCTCTGCTTCCCAGTCCCTTGAAACCAAAGAAAGCCACTCCTAGGCTGAAAGCTGGGGACTTTAAGGGAAACAGAGTTTTGTTAGGTTTCTCTTCCCGCTCTGAATGAGAGACAGACAGACAGACAGGCAGACAGACAGACAGTGGACAGATACAGAGGAACACAGAGAGAAAAATAGAGACAGAGGGAGAAAGAGAGAGAAACACTCAGAAAGAGGCTCATTATGTAATCCAGGTTATCTCAGCCTTTTGATCCTGCCTTAGCCTCCCAGGTGCCACAGTTACAGGTGAACATTACCTGGCTGCTTCCGACTTATTTAGTTTACTAATTTGCTAGATGCAATAGAGCAGAGGCAAAAACACTAAGTAGGCTTGTTGCGATCCCAACTACTCTTTCTCCCTCTTGCTCTTTTCTTGTTCTCTTTCTTCGACACACACATACTTATATACATGCACACGTGTGCATGTATTTAGAGACTACTAGGGGGAAGCTGCTGTCACAAGCACAAGGCAATCATAAGAACTACTGTTGATGAGTGTTTGGGCATTTTACACAATCTCTTATGCTTACAAGAACAAAAAACGAGAAAGCAAGTCGTTTTAGTGCCATTTGACAGATAGGGAAGTGACTTGGGCTCAGAGCATTGCTTGCATCACTCCCAGTGCATATGTGCCTCTGTGTAGTGGCTACCAGTCTGCATGGGTATCAAGGTTGTGTGTTTTCTACACCGCTCAACAGCTACAGGGAGTGTTTATTCAACAAGGGCCACTGTTGGTTCTTGTTGAAGACACAGATGGCTCAATGAGGAAATTCTGAACCCGGATGCACCAGGAGGGTCCGCAGAGAAAGTGATAAGAACATCCTTTGGTGCCTGTTGTGATAAAGGATGATGTTGAAATTCCCATCTATCTCAAAAGACTCCAGCTTCCTTCTATGGCTTTTTTGGTGGTCCAAGAAGTTGTGGCTCCAGTTGCAAGCAGTGAAGTCATAGGAAGAATAGAAACATCTGGCTGTTGCAGAATTCCCTTTGGGTACCCCTAGATTTCTTCTGCTAATCTGAGCGACTGAGTCTTAAGGATTGGCATCTTTTCCCAGCTGGCTTTCTAGGAAATCGAGAACATGCCCTTTTGGTTTAACTTTATCTGCTTCACTAATTGAGCTCCCAGGAGGCCTAGTAGACTCCAATCCTTGCTCCCTTATTTGCTTCCTGCCTTCCTTCATAAAATTCTTGACATTTGTTTGACTCTAGAAGCCAGCAGCTATCAAGTATCAGATGGGAGGCTGTTATGTAGGAAGCACCTGATTTTGGCGGGGGTGGGGAGGGTCTCTCAACAATCACTTGCCTCTACCTAGGATGCTGGTCAGGATTCTTATAATTACTGAACAGGCAGCCATTTCTTTAATCCTGCACCATTTACTGAAAATTGTTCCAGGAGGAGGGGATGGGGGAGGGGCTCTACTAGGCTGATAGAGTCTGGCTGATGGTCAGCCCAAGTCAACTGCCTGTCAATATTTAGCCCTCTGTCTGCCCTTGAAGATGGGGAGTGGGGGTGAGGAGTGAAATAATCTTGTCCAACCATGTATCCCCAGAGTTCAGCACAGGACCAGGCACTTGGTAGATATTGACTTTGCCAGTATTTGTGGAGTGTAAAAAGCAATGCAGTGAATGCTTGTTGGACAGTGATCCTCAGGCTCCACTTTTTCAATTCTTTAGCATAACTGAGGCAGGTAGTGGATTTAGGCAGTTTAAGAAATTGGAGAAAGCAGAAAGGTCAAGGGGTCTGAGTCAGAAATTGAATTTTTTCATTTTGTTTCAGGTCCACTCTTCTTTCTTCTCCAGGCTTCAAACCCCACTCCAACATAAGACTCTAAAACCTTTTCTGTAGTTCTTGATTTGGTTAGAATCAAATTACCTTGAATGATTTCTGCATTTGGTCCTTTCTCTTTGACTTTCTAATTAACTTTTTTTTCCTGATTACATTCTCAGGGTTAGCTTGTTGTTCAGATAACGTCTCTTGCTTTTGTACGTGCTAGCCTCAAAACATGATCCTCCTACCTTTGCTGGGCTTACAGGAATGAGCCACCATGTCCAACGAACCCTTGGTCTTCTTGCGTTCTAACTTCTACCAGCACTTCTAATGTGAGCATCTTAATATTGAGCTGTTGTCTTCAAATTCTCCACACCTATTCATCCCTCTTTGGTACCTCATACATGCTTCTGTCTTGGAAATCAGCTAATTGACAAGCTCCTTGTGGAAAGAATAGAGATCTTACTCATCAGTGGGCTTGTCACATTATAAAAGCATTCTGCTCGCATGCATTGCAATGAATTGGACTGTCACCTGGAGCACCTACTCTTGCTTAAATATGGTTTTTGTTTCTTAAAAATGGAGATTTCCATTTTAAGTTTTTGTTCTCTTTAACTTTTTGTTCTCTTTAGTGGCTCATGCCTTTAATCGTAGTTACTCAGGAGACTGAGATCTGAGGATCAGGTTTGAAGCTAGCCTTAATAGAAAAGTCCAAGAGACACAATCTTCTATTAATCAGCGAAGATGCTGGACTGGAGGTGTAGCTCAAGTGATAGAGCTCCAGTCATGAGCAAAAGAGTCAATAAAAAATGTGAGGCCTGAGTTCAACCTTTGGTACCAAGACACACACACACACACACACACACACACACACACACACACACACACACACACGGGACTTTGTGGCAATTATGAAAAGCTTGAAGAGGAGGCATTGAGCAATTCCATTGTGGACTAGAAAGCTGGCTTTAGCCATACCATTTTCCCTTTTTGTACCATTTTTTACCAAGCATGAAGCAGTTTCTAGACTATTTCTATTGCATCAGCCTACCCCAGAATCTGGACCAGAGTGTGTCTTTGTTTTGCCTACATGCTGTTCCTACAATATGTGTGCTCAAGAGGAACCTTTTTTTCATATACAGAGGGCATTTTATCTCAGTTGCTGCTCAGATGGTAAGCCAAGAACCTAATTCAAATATTTTGGTAGAGCTGATATGTGAAACTTAAAATAACAGAATTGAGGAGGCTGGGAAGAGGAAATGCAATCACAATGGTAGAGACATCAGTATCATTTCATGTCCTGAAGTTGAAGTTCTTTTTTCCTTTTTGTGCTGGACCAGAGCTTGAACTCAGGGCCTTACATTTTTTTTTTTGGCTTTCCTTCCACATGGTTGTTGCTTTACTTCCTGGCATTGACCTTCAGTCTGGCTCTTTGTCGATAGTTAATTGGAGATAGAGTCTTGAGGACATTTCTGTCTGGACTGGCTTCTGTCATCTGAGTAGCTAGGATTACAGGTTGGAGCTACTAGCATC